AAAAAAAAAAAAAAATCTTGTTACAAGTCATAGTAAATTCTGAGAAGAAGAGAGCAATGTGAGTGTAGTGGGGAGAGAAATCAGGGTGATTTCTAAAAGGAGGTGACATTTAAGCTGAGGCTATGAGAAGTACTAGACAATTTATATTCCCTCTACCCACCCAGACCCCAGGCCATATGCTGGCCCTGAAGCATAATTCACTGCAGAATCCACTGTTGAACCTGGAAGCCCTACCAGTTGCCTCTCATGCTCTTTGAAGTGAGCACCTTGCCCCTGCCTCAAGTCCTTTCTCATCAAACGAGAGGCTTAGTGGCCAGCAACATATGTGGGAGCTCTTGGAGAGATGGGGGAGAAGCCTCAGGATCTCTCTGTCTCTCTCTCTGCTTCCTTAGTTAACTTGTGAGGCATGGGACCAATATGTCTCATTCAGCAGCTCTAAAGTGGCCAGGATGAAACAGGCGTCAGGGACCAGTCCAGCAACTTCAACCTCCCTTCTTCATTCACTCAGCAAACGGTTAGTAAGCACCTTCTGTAGGCCAGGCAGTGTTCTAGGTATGGGAGACATAAAACAGATACAGTCCCTGTCCTCAAGGAGTTTACAGAGTGTTGAGGGAGACAAATATTAACCAAATAATCACAAAAACAAATGTAAGATTGCAGCTATCATAAGTGCTACAAAGAGCAGCAGTATCTGCCGGTTAGAGCATATAAGAGGGATTTGATCTAATCAGGGGACAGGAGGACATGCAGGAGGAAATGAGGTTGTGCTGAGATCTGAAGGAGGAATACAAATTTACTAGCTGAAGAGAAGGAAGAGTATCCCAGGGGGAGGGACAAGCATATGCAAAAGCCCCTTGGTGAGGCTTTCCAGGATCAACAGAATGATGGTGTTTTCACTTTGCTGTCATTTGATGAGTAAACTGGAGAGAGGAGATGAAGAGGGGAGATTTCTCTTATTCAGTCTAGCCCCACTTCCAGCCCTCCACTGCTTCTCTGCCCCACCTCCTCCCCACATCTTGCCCCCACCCCCCAGCCTAATCTAGGCAGGCACACTGGATTCGCAGCAGGGGTAGTGTTGAGTTCTTCAGTAAACCTGGTTCAAGTTCAAGCCAGGGCTGGGTCACACTGACTGGACAAAAGGGGGAAAAGATTCACTTTCTGAAGTCCCTGCCTACCACGTGCTCCTCCTCCCCACCACTATCCCTTCTCAGGTCATCCTTTTGGCTTCTGATTCCAGTAGCCGTTGTCCTAAGCTCTGAGTCCAACAACCCATTTCTCCTTCCCTAACCCAGCCCGCCCTGCAGCTGTTCTCAGCCTCTGCATGAAGGAAAGAGTCTCCATTTGGCTTCCCCTGGTCCCCAGCCTGTTCTCCTTTGATGGCTCCACACAGCCATTCCCCGACTCTGGATCCCCGTCCATTCCTCCTCCTCTGAAAGGCACTATCCCTGCTCTCTCTCAGTTTGGGCAGTCATTCAACAAATAGCCACTTAATTTTTTTCTGCTTATAAAATAATACATGCTCATTATAGAAACATGAGAAATAGGCCAGGCTCAGTGGCTCACGCCTGTGATCCTAGCACTCTGGGAGGCCGAGGTGGGAGGATCACTTGAGGTCAGGAGTTAGGGACAAGCCTGAGCAAACTAGCAGGACCCCCACTCTACAAAAACCTTTTAAAAATTAGCCAAGTGTGGTGACGCGAGCCTGTAGTCCTAGCTGTGCGGGAGGCTGACGTGGGAGAATCTCTTGACCCGAGGAGTTCAAGGTTGCAATGAGCTATGATGACACCACTCACTCTGGCCCAAGCAACAGAGTAAGACCCTGTAAAAAAATAAGAAAGAAATAGAAAACAGTTTTTAAAGAAAAACCACCTATCATTTTATAACCTAGGGACTACCACCAACTTTTTATTTAATATGAAAAATTTCAAATACATACAAGAGTAGAGGGAAGGATATAATGAACCAGCATGATCCTGCTACCCACTTTCACCTAACACCCTAGCTTGCTTCACTTATATCCTCAGCTTCACGTCCCCCTTGGATTATTTTTAAACAAATCTCAGACATCATATAATTTCATCTGGGTCTTCACTATCTTTAGCAGAGGAGGCTTTTATAAGGTCCACATTTTGTCTTTGGTTGAATGTCTCCTATGTCTCCTAAGATCTTTTGATGTAAAACTTTCCCCTCCATCTTTCATATTCACAATTTATTCATTCACTCACTAACATTTTCATGTGTTTCTTTCTAAACTTTTTTCTTTGTGTGGTCAAACAACATGCACAGGCTTCTTTTTTAAAAAAATCTGATTTACCTAAATCGATTATTCACAAACTTGTTCACACTTTTATGTGACACTTTATAAACACATCAAGAATTTTTATTCCCAGTCAACTGGTATATTTCTTACCAGTTTTTATTAATAGTAATTGAGGTCACACTGTCCATCAGTATTGT